GATTTTTTGAACTTAGCTTTTCTTGCTTTCCAGTACTCTTTTTTACTAGTAGTAGCTAGCTTTACTATTTTTCAGCATTCTTAATTTGATGATTTTTTTATTTGTGACATACTAACATTTATTTATTTCGTTTGCAGGTATGTGATACTTGCAACAGATCAGGGAGCTTACAGATAGTTGCATGAGCCATTATAGAGTGTTGAGCATTCTAGTTTCTGAGTGTTGTTTGCACAAGGTTTGGAGAGCTTTGTTTAGGAGGTTGGGGTTACATTTTTGAGTTTTGAGAGAAGTGTTGTTTATTTGGAGAGTTTTAGGGTTTGTGAAGGATTGTATTGAGAGTTGAGTTTACTTGTATATATCAATTAGTGGAAACACTATTGCTCTTCATGTATTTTCTTTTATGCTTAATTAATTAATCAATTAACTAAAAATTAAATTTTCTAGTTAATTATATTAATTTCAATTCTTAAAACCCTCATACTTTAAAACTATCAAAATTTAAAGCTCTCATATTTTAAAAATTTCATTTAAAAATGCTCTCGTACTTTGAAACTTTCTTATTAAAAAATATTATTTTATTTTAAAATTAACATATTAATTTTAATTGATAAATTAGTTTTGGAATGATTTATCACAATCCTTAGTATCTCATTAGCAAGAGGAATAGAGGTGATGCTTTGACAATCAGAAACTTCTAAAGTTTCAAAAAGGAATAGCATTTGAAATGCCACAACAATCAAAGCCTTTGGGCAACAATTCAAAGGGAAATCGTATTTTATAATACTATAACAATTCAAAATCTTCTACTCAATGTTACTTGTGTTATAATTTTTTAAAGAGATGTTTCATTTAGAGACTTTCAAGATGTCTCATTTAGAGACATTCGCGACATCTCAAAAAATAGTCTTTGGCCTGAGATGATATCCAACCAGTTCTCATTTATGTTGAATGGCATTTAGGAGAAAGAAGATAAATGGGAAAATTTTTTGTTCTTACTTATCACAAGTACAAGTAGAAAGGGATTAAGGGAAGTCGTCATTAAGAAGACGACGATAATGCATATTGAGTTATACACTTGTTCTGAGTCCATTCCGGACTTTCATTTGTGATGTTAGTCAATCCAAAATTAATCAATTATTTTGATTAATTTAAAAAATTATTTTTTTTACTAAGTATTAATTAACTAGATTAGTTAATTAACATTTAAATTTTTTATTTTAATATTTTGATTGAATTCAAATTGAATTATCCTCTAAAATTTTGAGAAAATTTTAGCACCCTCCCGGCGTCCCCTCCCAACCGAGGGAGAAATCAGGATGGCATTTGCCAAAATTTCTTCCTACCTGGACCTAAGGTCAATGGCGTAGGGTCTTCAAATTTAAACCATCCCACTAGGGTCTAAGATTGACTGCATGGGGTCTTTGAATTTTATTTCATCTTGCCCATATCTAAGATCAATAGCACGAGGGCTTCAAATTTAAAACTATATGCTCAAATCTAAGATCATGGCTCGGGTCTTCGAATTGTAAAACCATGTGCCAAGATCTAAGATCGATGGGACGGATCTTCAATTTCAAACCATCCTGGCCGGACCTAAGGTATAACGGCCCGAGGTCTTCAACACTAGCTTAAAAATCTTATTCTCCCTTCTTTGTTTTTTTATTATAATATCATATTATTTTTTTAATTATATTTATATATAACATATATAATATATTATAATATAATATATAATATTATATTATCATATATTATATATAATATAAGAGAGAGGGTTAGAGGGTTTGAGTTGGGTCTGCTCAGGCACTTGAGTCTGGTTGGAGAAGGGGCACAGTCGCACTTGAGTGTGGGATTATCTACTTAAATTTTATGAATTTTGGTAAAAAATGTGCGAAAGAGAGGAATCCAGCTACCTTGTAGTCGCTCAAAATGTTATAACTTTTGGTCTTATAGGAAGAGAAAGTCATCAAATGAGCAAAGTTGGATAGCCACTAAGGAACCAAAGGAGTAATGCGTGCAATCTCCACACCTCCTATAAAGCAACAAAGTCATACAACAATGAGGGAGCCGAATAAGCCTAACGTCCAATCTCCTCCTCCTACGAAGTAACGAAGATGAACAGTGATGAGTGGTCGAAGGGGCGAAGTCGAATGACAACGAAGCAGTCGGAGGGTGAAGTCGTGTGATCTCTCCCCTCTTACGAAGCAACAGAGCCTAAAAGAAAATGAAGGAGTCGGAGAATGATTTGTGCAATCTCAACGAAGCAATTAAGCCATGTAGTAACCTGTGCGATCTCTCCCTCTCCATCGAAGCAACGAAACTGAATGACAACGAAGGGGTCGAAAGAGCGTATGTTTTTATTTTTTACTTCTTCCTCCCTTTTTATCGAGTGAACTATCGAGCGAGAGTTTTGTGAGTGAAGCATTATCTCGTTTGGCGACTAACTACCGGTGGTGGGACCGAGACATAAAATATAGGTTAGTTGCTTTGTGAAGAGCAGTATTTGTTTGAATTTCTTCTCTTATTTTTTTTTTCTTTAGTCAACATTATTATGGTACATATGCTGGGAATATTGTTGGTGATTTGGATAATTTAAAAAATACTGCAAAGTTTTTGGTTTTCCTATTACCAATGTGGTGGTTAATGTTGTGTATTATAATGAATCAATTTCTTCTATGGATATTACTCCTAGTGGTGTTGTTGACATTGGGAATGCTGTTGGCCATGTTGGTGTGGACAATGATCCTTTGAATTTTGTTCTTGTTGATGCTGACGATGATGTTGTGCCTTTTGGCTACCTATTGTGGTGTTTGTGAGAGAATGGATGCCAAAAACTGTATAACTAACCATATAGCTACTTTCATTATCTCACATACTTTAGTTGATGATGATATTAATGTTGATTCTAGTAACTGTGAAACTTCTAGCCCCCATGGGTACTGTTGTGCCTATAGGGATAAGGGATGAGATGGATTCTACCGTTGTTGCTTTTGCTGACTCTCCCGTGCCAATATTGGAATTGATTTTTAAAATTTTCCATTTTTTGACATTTCAGTTTCACTTATTTCTAATGAGGTTTTGAAAGCTCAATTAGTGGATAATATGTAGAATAATTATTTGGATCAAAATTATTGGCTTGAGGACTCTATTTCCTCACCTTATAGGGGTGATGGGAACAACTTGGATGGGCCTGAGATGCTATTCAGGCGATGTATAATTTGAATGTCAATCATATTGTTGATAAAGCTTTTTCTCTAGTGGTGGCAAACATCACAGGAGGAAGCAAAAAAGGAAATAGTTTGGGTTCTTCTCTTCTGCTGTTGGGTTGTCATTCTTTTTTCTTTTTAGTTGTTCTATTTTTTGGTTGTGGGATTGTCCTTATGTTTGGTTGTGGTTGCCCTATTGGGTTTGCTTTGCTCCATTTGGGTTCTTTGGGGCTGCAGGCTGGGTGGTGGATTTTGTTTGGTGTTTGGTTCTTTGTTGTCTGTTTGTTAGGTTTCGGGTAGTTCTTCTATCATTCTGCCTTCTCTTGTCTGTCCTCTTCTTCATCTTATGTTCGTCTTGTGGTTTGTTGATCTTATTTTTTTTTTGAAGCTTCTCGTTACTTGCTCTTTCTCCTGCAATGGTTTATTGTGTTCTTTTGCAGGCTTATTTCATGTTCCTATTGTTGCTTCCAGTGGGACTATTGCTGATTGCTTGGGGAGACTTGCTAGGGTGGCTGCTTCTATTTGAGCCCTCATTATTGGATTTTTTTAGGCATTTTTGGTTGTTCTTTTCTTTTACTACCTTTTTGTTATTTTTGTTTTTGTAAAATACTGAATCAAAGGCTCGTATATTTTATTTTAAATGATGTATTTTTTAGAGGGCTTATGATTCACTAATGGCTTGTAATTTCATTTTTTATTAACATGTAGGCCCCTAATGTGGGTTCTATAAAAAAAAAAAGATCACACCGTACAAATAAGTGATCATATAGTACGATTACTACATTTACTTAGGTTCATCTAGGATGATAAAAAATCATCTATGCTAATCATCCCATATGATTAATATTGTAATGTATGAATAATTCAATCCAATCAAGGTTTGTCCAATACGATTAAGATCATATGATTAAGATTGTACTATACGATTAAGATTGTGCAATTTAGTGCTTTAGATTTTAGCTAAATTTATTAAAATGATCATCTCAAAATGCCTATAAATAGAGCTTCATTTTCTACAACAAGGAGGAGGTTCAAGAGTTTAGAAAATTAAATAACTCTCTTACATTTTCTTATTATCACTGCTGATTACCACGACCAACAATCATCGTTACAATTATTAGACTTCTGGTGGTAATGTAGCTTATTGTTTGGGTTTTAACTATTTTTCTGTAAACACCAAATTTAGGCTTTGTTTGGGACGACTTTCTTATTGCTATCTACAATAGCTTTTTGGTACAAAATTTTTAAGTCAAAATATTTTTTATATTAAAAAATTGCTTTAAAAAGCAGTACGAAATCGTCCCAAATGAAGCCTTATTCTTATAAGAAAATAGGGAAATTGCATTGTAATTATGCCCATAGTCTTCAATTGGGAGGAAGAGAAGCTTATTGTATGTGTTACTCAATAATAGTGAATTATTGTAATTGAGGTGGGCTTTGTGATTTTTCTCTCTTTTGAGTATTGCATAAAAAAAAATTTTAGTCTCCTATAATTTTTTTATACGTGCTAAATTTTTATGAAAAATTAAAATGTTAAATATCAGCTCTACCACTTTTTTTTTTGGGATTCACATGTGAAAAAAATTTTAGTCTCCTATAATTTGTTTTATACAAGCTAAGTTTTTATAAATAATTAAAATGTTTACATCAACCCTATCCTCGTGAGAATTGTACCAAGTATCAAGAACTAAATGTGGAACGCATTAAATGTGGAACGCATTAACATCCCGTTTTTTTATTTTTATTTTTTCAATTATTGTTATACTTTTCCCTCACTTATTTCTCAGCCAATCTCTCATGGCGTGCAGAATATTTTATTATTTTAAGAAGGCCCACTTGCTTAAGCTATTCTCGATTTTCCTTTTTTTCCGTCCATTCTATTAGCGACTGGGAGGAGATGTTTTTGCGGCCGCAGCTCATCTCTGCTACTCTCAGCACTGCTGAATTGCTTCGACCCATTTCGATCCGTTGCCTGCCCGGTTCCAAAAATGCTAATTTGATATCCGGGTGTTCTTCGAGAGGCCGATTGGTTGTTAGAATGGGGGTTTCCGATAGGGAAAGTGTGGTGGAGCTGGCAAGAGTCGATCGTTTTGCTATCGGCGATGTAGTCGAAGACACAGGTGGTGGGGAAGCAGTGACGATTTTGAGGAGGGAGCGGGCGTCGCCAGACTTCGAAGCCACTCTTAATCGATTGGTACATTTTCTTGTTGGAATTTTCTAAATCAAGTTTATTATTATTATTATTATTATTTGGTTTGTTGAAACTTGAAAGGTAGGTGCAGAATTAAAGTAAAAAGTGCATGTAAAACAATAGGAATTTGCGCCATGGGGAATGAGTTTATAAATCCCTTCAATGAGAAGAAACGTGAAATTGGAGCATACGACATTTCCTCTGATAATCGTAGTTATATGAAAGCAATGAATAACTTTTTTTTTAAATGCTAAAAAAAAAAAACAAAAAAGAATTCTAGGAAATGATCATGAAGCCATAAGTCATTCAGAACAAAATTTTCTTCTGGATTTCTACTCGAGAAGGAAATTTTATGGTAGAATTGGATGTTCAAGTTGAAATCGAGGATAAATTTAAGGCTTGGGTAGGATCCAGCCCAAGTATGTAATTTGTCTGAAACTAAAATAATAAAGGGGCAATTTCCCCTATACTACATTATTGAATTATAGATTTCATGGATCCTGTAATGGAAGATTTTTAATTAATAGCTGTCTAAAATTCAAGTTAAAATTCATAGCAATGTTAGTATTATTAGTTTCCTTTTTGTCATTCCATCACATAGGTTTCAAGCATTGAAAACAAATTAATGTATCATCTACAATTTTTTTTGGTCTAGCCACTAATTAAAAGACTAATGCAAGAGTAAAAAATCATTAATGTCGAATCCAAAAAAAAGAAAACATTAAAATGTTTATTTTACAAAGGAACACAAACATGTCAACTCTGCAAACAATAATTGAAATGTTGAGCACAAAAATATTTGATGACTATTTTTTTTTAACTTTTTTTTTCATTAACTCTTAAATTTATTGTTGTATCCTGTACTTTCTATTGGTTCATTTTTCGTATAGTTGCTTAAAAAATTGATACAAACTACAAAGTAAATGTAGTCAAATGGACTAATTTTTTTTCCCACACTTTAGGTTAGTTTGCATCCACTTTATTCAGAACCAAGCACTCCCTCAATTGATTCTTTCCAAATTTCTTTTATTTACTTTGATATAACATCAAAAATCACCTTGATCATGCACGGATCAAGATGTATATTTGAATTTGAAACTTCCAAATTAAATTTAGGATCATCCAAACTTCGATTTTAGCAAATTTATACTGAATTAACACTTCAATGAGAGGAACTCAACGATGCAAAGAGTGGCTCAATCCGATTATCAATGAGCCTAATCAAGCACTTGAAGCATGTTTGAAAACTTCAGGGCATTAATTGGATGACCAAGTGATCTTTAACTAAATCTTGCATGCTTATAATCGAATCGAACACCTTGATGAGATGAATCTTAAGAGCCTAAGTTCATTTAATTCTAACTTCACTATGGTAACTAAATGTTGAAAGAATAGTCTATGATTAAGGGAATCAACATGGGCCATCCGATGGAGTGTTTCAGATTTTGACTATATTTACAGGGCTTGTCAATCCAAAAAAAAATCTATAGATAGGCCTCCACTCTTTAATGAATAGAGATTAGATCTAGAGCTTAGACTTTGACTTGAGATTCAAGAGAACTCTGAGGCTCTAAGGATCTTGGAGAGCCACCATCAGGCCACCATCCAACTGTCGTTATTGGGCCATTGTCCAAATATTATTGTTAAACCAATGCTCGACCGCCGCTGTCAAACCAACACTTGACTTCTTCCGCCGGACTAATGCTCTAACGTTGTTGTTGCACAATTTCCCAACATCATCGTCAAATAATACCCTGGTGTCGCCACTTCCTAGTCACTACCTACAAGCCACCATAAGACAACTACTCGATCGATGTTGTTGGAACACTTCTTGATGCAACCGTTAAACTACTGCCCCACCAGTACTTTCAGAATATCGCTTAATCATCATCATTGCATTACAATCCTATACTACTATTGTCTGACTACAGTGCCTTGTCCACCTTCTCCCAACTATATACTCGAAAACCTTCGCATGATTATAAACCTTTGAACAACGTTGTCTGACTATGATCCTCCAATTTTCCTTTGCATAATGACAATCCTTTGAACAATGTTGCCCGACTATGATTCTCCAACCTCCATAGTCCAACTATGGCCCTTCAACCTCCGTTGCCTAATTACGGCCCTCAGAACACCATAGCCTAACTACGGTCCTTAGACCACTGTTGCTCGACTTCGGCCTTTCGATTGCTTTCACTTGACTTCAACCTCCAACCACTGTTGCTCATTTCGGCTATCCAACCAATGTCGCTCGAATTTGGCCTCTCTAACCAACATTGCCCGACTGGGGTCCTCCAACAACCGTAGCTGGACTACACTCCTCTCACCATCATTGTCCGATTATGGGCCGTCGACCTTCGTCGCCCTACTAGTGTCCACTGATCTCCGTCGCTTGACTCGATCCGTCGACCTCCGTTGCTCGACCACAGCCTTTCAGCCTTAGGTTTCCAATTATTGGCCATCGACCATCGTCACATGATTTTGGATGCTTTTGGATTGCTAATTATTGTTGCTCGACTGGGCTGCCGGCCACCGTCGTCCAACTATGGGCCACTGACTAACATCTCTTGAATACTGTCTGGCAACCTCCGTCCCCAGACTACAGTAGTGACATCAGTTGCCTAACCATGGTCTGTCGACCTATGTTGCTTGGCTATGGTCCTTTGACCAGAGTTACTCTTTCTCAGTCCTTCAACCAATGTTGTTTGACCTCTATTGCTGATTATGATCCTTTGACTGTCGTTGCTTGACTACGACCGTTTGACCATCGTTGCTCGATTACGACCCTTCCAACCACCCTCGCCTTACTACAGTCCTCTAACCTCCAATGCCTTACTATGGTTTTCCAATCCCTGTTGCCCGACTACTATCCTTCGACACCTATCACCTGATTATGATCCTCTAACTATCGTGGCCTGAATATGATCTCATGAGCACCTTCACCCAAAAACGCTCATGTGACCAACATCGGTGACCTCCTTTGCTTGGTCCTTTGACCACCCTCACTTGGATATGACATGTCGATCTTTGTCTCTTGACTATGGTCCTCCGATGGCCCTATTACGATCCCCTAAGCACTATTGCCGGACTATGATTCTACGAGCACTGTCACCCAACTAAGGCCCTCCGACCACCTTCGCTCAACTACGATCTTCCAACCACCATCACTCGATTACAGTCCTTCGGCCTTCAACACCCAATTTTATGTCCTTTAATTAGCGTGGCCCGACTACAATCCTCTGAGCTCTGTCGCCCAACTATCACTATCGCTCGAATATGGCCCTCCAACCACCATATCTTGAACTTGGTCCTCTGACCACCATCATCCAAATAACAGCCATTTAACCAACATCACTCGTTATGATTTTTTTAACTGTTGTCACTTAACTATAGTGCTTCGACCACTGTCACTGACTACTATTCTTCAGACTATCATTATAATCTTCTGACCATTAGACTTGGCTACTCGCCTACTAACCACATTACCTACCATCGCTAACAGTGCCAATGCACACCAAGTCATCAACATCAATTATGACTCCCAATGTTAAGATTTATGCTGGATTTCTTGGTCACTGATTTTCTCTTCTCAAAGGAGTATGACCAAACAAACATCAAATGGTATATTAAAGACAGCTGCCATGCCACAAGGTTTTTCCAACTTCAACCGCATAATATATTTTTAACATTTTATCAATGCCTTCCTCATCCGAGGAAGGACATTACTTTTTATCGAGGACAAAAAATAATGGAATCATTTTAATTGAGTAAGGCTCTTTGATTTTTTTCTTTTTTGATTTTTCCACGTAATACTATTGTCTCTTGTAATATTTGCACTCATTTCTTATATGTATGTGTTAAGCTTCTTGATCTACATCAAGAAGGGAATGATACATTTTGTGTAGGGTGTGGACTCCTTAAAGAAGAACAAGGGGAAGAAGAGAGATTAGAAAAGTAAGAAAGCATAAATCTTATTTTATGAATTCAGTTACATCATTTGGGATCTATTTAGAGGTTTACATGAACCAGTTTTGGGTTTAATGGAAGTTCAGTCCAGTTGGTTTAATACAAGTAAAATTAAATAACTAAAAATGTGTTTGGGACCAATTTAATGCTGAAATAAATTGTTAGGGTGCCCGTTTCGTAAGCAGGAGGTCTTGCGTTCAAGTCTCAACGAGATTACTATTTGTTAAACTTCTTGATCTACATTAAGAAGGGGAATGAACTTTTTGAGTAGGCGTAGACTCCTTAAGGAAGAAAGGGAAGAAGAGAGATTATTAAATGAAGAGAGCAAAAATCTTATTTCCTCCATTCAAGGACAACATTTGCGATCTATTTATAGAGGTTTATATGAATTAGTTTTGGGTTTAATATAAGTTTAGATCAGCTGGTTTAATACAGGTGAAATAAAAGAACTAAAAATTTGTTTGAGAATGATTTAATGCTGAAATAAATAGAACCATAAGGTTGTAGCTAGCCTGTTGTTGTAGCATTCCCAATCTTTGAAAGATTTGCTTCTTTCTTCTTTTATAATAAACTTGAAGTATTTTATTATGTTGATGCCAATTTTTTGAATTGTTGACCCATTCTTGACATTGTTGTTGTACTGTCTTTGAATCAAAATAATATATTGTTGCTTAACAATCTCATCGCCATGAAAAGCAATCTTATCCTCAAGGTTGAGAGACGGAAAAGAATCAAAAAGAGCTTTCATGTTTAACCATTGGCGCCAAGTAGCCGCAGGTCCTTCAAGATGAAAGGAAGTTATTCTAACACAATGATAATAAGAAGTGTTGTGAAAATCAAAGTATTCCTGTGCTTTAAATGTCCATGTTTCGACGTTGAATCTATTAAAATGAGGAAGTTCAATTTTGATCGATTTAAGAAAAGTGAAAATTGAAGGAGACGGTGGCAGCTATAGAGAAGGGATTCAATCGGCGGAACCAGGGATGCCAGCGGAAGAGGAAGGATCTTAATGGAGTGGAGGAGGTGGACGTTCA